CCACCCAGCCGCCACATTCGGTACATTTGTACCACCACCAAATGGCGTAATTGTGCAGAAAACAGAGGCAGGTAGACGGACAGGCATCCTGCGAACAGGTGGCGAGCGGGCGACCTGATTCCAAGTGTCGTTACGTCACAGAAGGTCGCGAGCGGGTTGGCTGTCGACTGGATTCGAACCCCAGCCCAGCTGTACAGAGCACGCACGGAGGAGATTAGAAACACGTAGACGGTTTTCGTTGAGTAGCATGAATAGAAGATAACTGCTCGCAAGTTGGCGTATGTGGCGCGATAATATTAAAAAGGGTTTTAAAGAAAGAGATGGGCGTGAGCTGGATTGAACTGGCTCGTGATAAGGACCCGTAGGGGGATGTAGTGAACGCGCTAATGGACATTCTATTTCCATAAGACCAGTGAAGTTCTTGACGATCTGAGTGATTAGGACTTCCTATGATTGCCATCGTCTGTTCGCAGGGGGACGATGAGATGCCTGGTCCCTCCCCGGCCATCAAGAGGGCGTCCTCGGTCAACTCTGCTTCCGAGGTGAGTACTCAACCCCACAGAAAGCCTCCCTGCCCAACCCCCCAATCTGGAGGACCATCACTTGTCGATCTCCTCATATCTCTGGAGGCCACCTCCTGGGGGCACTGTGTGTCTCCTCCTCTCATAAGCTTTATATATGTTCTTCGTTACCTAGCAACGAAACTACCTCTGAGTCATATCAGAGAAAATTTTGTTTTTGTAATTGTAATTTACGTAAGTGACAGAGGCGTTTATTTCGTACAGAGCGTCACTCACGCGTGAAAAGCTTGAAACTACGTGAATATGACGTTGACCCTTTGAATCCGAAGCTCGCCTAAATAATATTTAATACTCCGGTCCGTACCGCGAAGAAAACTCAGCTCTTCACCATTACGAAATATCAAGTGGTTAACGCCGTTTAAGGAAATGATCCCAGTTACACTTAGAATCACACGAAACACACAAATCCAAAATAATGAGTTGTCACGGGCATTAATGGCTAATTTTCTACGTGCATCTCTGAGGAATTTCAAAGCGCGTGGTGATCAATGTATTGTCGAGCCCGGCACGTGGACTGCACGTGCGCACTCAGTTAAGTATTTCTTCTTCCAAATAAGTAAAGCACAGGCCAGCGATAATCGCCCTACTCCAATTTCCGGGTTCAAAACCCGAGATATTGCTGTGGATGTGGGCACGTCATCTACAAAGACTTTTTTTTTTTCGTCGACAGATCTGGACCAAAGAGAAATGCTTAATTTGCCGCGTGGACTCTCAGTTAATGCCCAAAACTTTTTTTCTCTGTTTCTGGAACTGGTGAACTTTGCAAGTTGATACGAGGATGAAGTTCATTCAATGATCAGTGCGCTTAAGACGGTCGTTCCAACTCCCTGGAGCACGGTTTTACTTGAGAAGCTGTTAGTGCCGCAGCTAGTCAAAAGTCCTTGCCTTTTATGAAATCAGAATGTTCATCGCCGTTCTCACAAGAGCCAGCCAAGGCCCCGTGCAACATTTCGTAACTTCCAGCAATTATTTGTTAACTCGTTTAAGCCCGAAGCTAGTCTCTAATATTAAAAAAAAATGCAGTTATTGCTTCAAGGAAAACTTCGCGTCTCCATGACAACGATCAGCCTGTTAATGTTGTTTAAGGAAGTGATTTTTTTTTATTTGTGCCTGTGAGTCGTACGAAACTCGTGAATGCACTGTGGGAACAAAATGGACGAGTTCTTGAATGTGAAAGTAGGTCGTGTGTGTAATTACCGCTGTGCTTTAAATAGTCGAATAATTGTGTTATTTGTGTTCTGGTTTAAGTTGCCTCATGACAGTGGCGGGCTCTTGTGAGCACGGTTGTGAACGTTCTGGCGAGCACTGGCTTAACAGCTGAAAGACCTCTCTTGATTCCCCAGATCGTCTCAATTACCTCGAACAGCATCGTCCAGTTCAGAAACACTCAATTCTCATAACTCGCAGTAAATTAACTTTCATCTCTTCGGCTAATTACGCTTGACATTGCTTCGCCCTTCTGGAGGCCGAACTGCGTGAACTCACGATACATGAGCTACTAATTTAATTAATTTTGTGTTCCGTAAAACTCTTTAGCTAATCCGTGATAATTCAGGACCAAAAAAAAAGAGGAGAGTGGAGTTGAGTTGAGTTCTGGAGCCCCTGCGAGGGGTGTAAGGGGTACTCCGGCAACACGAGATGAAAGAAAGTGATGCTGTATGTATTTCAGGAGAGTATTTGGTGTAAGTGACGCGGTCTTCGAGGAATTAATTAGTGGTTAGTGGCGCCCAAGCTCGAGGAGGAGGACGAGGTTCACGCAGAATTGCGGTGTGTTTCAGGAACAGGAGGGTACGTCGTCGATGCGACGCTGCATGTCCGAGTCCCAGGTGGTGAGGTCGGGCAGCGAGACGTCTTCGGGGAGTTCGTCTCCCTCGGACGTCTTTCCCAGTCTTCCCGACGTCGTGCTCCAGGAGCTGGGGCTGGCCTCTGCCGTCGCGACGCAACCCTGGTGAGGAAATACATACTCTCGTCGCGAAGGGGTGAGGCTCTTGGTGTCCTTGGAACTGCGGCCCCGAAAGGTCCCTTTGCCCACCCCTCAGATGAGTGAATATGGAGCAGCGGTGAAATGATAGTGACGGGGGGGAAAACCGAAGGTCTCCGTTTTCAGGGTCGATGCCTTCGGCTGTGAATATTGAGACTGTGGTTTCTACGAACGAGTTTGCACGTCGCCAAAACCCCGGAGACCGTCACAGTCCTTTAAAGTTCCTCGTTGCAGTTACACTTTGCAACTTTGAAATGTATTTTTTATATTCCCGTCTTGTCTCCGACCTTCTTCGCTCTGCGTTCTGTGGAGTCACTAGTTCTCGAGGAAAGTTTTCGCGATTACGTCGCTGGGGCCAGTGACTGAACCGGTATGTGTCAAGGATAGGATTTACCGCTGCCAGATTTCACTTCGAGGCACTTACCCCCCTCCCCCCTCCTTATAAATCCTCAAGGCGTTGAGCTTGCATCCGAGGCCAGCGTCAACCTCGAAGATGGAGGCAGCGTTCTCCTCCGCAACGTTTTGATTACGTCATCAGAGTAACCAACGAAATAACTTAGTCAAGAATGGTATCGAAGCTTATTGTTGTGACAATTTGCTGAGAGTCGCGACAGACAGACAGACAGACGTGGTGTCCTTTGCTACGCTAAAGCGCAAATAACACCTAATAATCGAGGCCAAACCAATAATTCACTGTCACGTGTTCCAGACCAGATAAGAAACTATCCCTCTCTGCCATCTGTGTTCTAACTCTTGTACTAAAAGTGTGTGTTTCGTCGTACAACAAAAATTTCGTTTCAACTGTCAAAAGAAGTCAGTGGAATGGTTTTTTTTTCGTAAACATTGTTTGTTTGTTTAATGATGATGCCTGTAGTTCATATTATTCATTCCCGATGGTAACGCCACGAAAATTTAACTTTCGAACATTTTTTTCCCTGCTTTTCACCAAATATGATTACAATTTTCACATCAAGTAGGGTGGGATTGGCGGGCTTGTAGCACGCATATGATAGATGAGCGTTGGGAAAATTCTAGGGAAGAGACCACTTGTAATACCTTTACATATTTGGGAGATCGTCTAACAGATGAATCC